ATAAAATGACTATGCTTGAAAGATAATTGCTCGTTGAGGTAACAGAAAAACTCGCTCCATGCAATTCAGCAAGAATATAATATCCAGGACTTCCCTGGTGGTGCAGTGGTTAAGAATCCGCCTGCCAAGGCAGGGGACACGGGTTCAAGCCCTGGTGCAGGAAGATCCCACATGCTGCGGAGCAACTAAGCCCGTGCGCCACAACTACTAAGCCTGCGCTCTAAAGCCCACAAGCCACAACTACTGAGCCCGTGCGCCACAACTACTGAAGCCCGCGTGCCTAGAGCCCGTGCTCTGCAACAAGAGAAGCCACCGCAGTGAGAAGCTCGCTCACCGCAGCGAACAGTAGCCCCCGCTCGCCGCAACTAGAGAAAGCCTGTGTGCAGCAACAAAGACCCAACGCAGACAAAAATTATTTAATTTTTTAAAAAAGAATATCCAAAAAAAGGCTCTCATTTAAAATTATGTTTTCTAGCTATTATTTTTGTATACTTTGCTAATTCTATAACTTTATTTTGAGAAAGTATACATTTTACATATTTTAAAGGAAGAGGAAAAAATACTGTTCCAGGATTTTTTTGTTTGTTTTTTTGCGGTACGCAGGCCTCTCACCATTGTGGCCTCTCCCGTTGCAGACCACAGGCTCCGGAGGCGCAGGCTCAGCAGCCATGGCTCACGGGCCCAGCCACTCCACGGTGGGATCCTCCTGGACCGGGGCACAAACCCATGTCCCCTGCATCAGCAGGCAGACTCTCAAACAATGCGCCACCAGGGAAGCCCCATCCCATAGACTTTGGATAATCGTGTTTTCACTGTCGTTTGTTTCTAGGTAGTTTTTGATTTCCTCTTTGATTTCTTCAGTGATCTCTTGGTTATTTAGTAGTGTATTGTTTAGCCTCCACGTGTTTGTATTTTTACAGATTTTTTTCTGTAATTGATATGTAGTCTTATAGTGTTGTGGTCGGAAATGATACTTGATACTATTTCAATTTTCTTAAATTTACCAAGGCTTGATTTGTGACCCAAGATATGGTCTATCCTGGAGAATGTTCTATGAGCACTTGAGAAGAAAGTTTATTCTGTTGGTTTTGGATGGAATGTCCTGTAAATATCAATTAAGTCCATCTTGTTTAATGTGTCATTTAAAGCTTGTGTTTCCTTATTTATTTTCATTTTGCATGATCTGTTCATTTGTGAAAGTGAGGTGTTAAAGTCCCCTACTATTATTGTGTTACTGTCGATTTCCCCTTTTTAAAAATAATTAGTTTTTAAATTTTTGGCCGCATTGGGTCTTCATTGGAGCATGCAGACTTTCTCTAGTTGCAGCGAGCGGGGGCTACTCTTCGTTGCAGTGCACGGGATTCTCATTGCAGTGGCTTCTCTTGTTGCAGAGCGTGGGCTCTAGGTATGCGGGCTTCAGTAGCTGTGGCATGAGGGCTCTAGAGCACAGGCTCAGTAGTTGTGGCACACCGGCTTAGCTGCTCCGTGGCATGTGGGATCTTCCCAGACCAGGGATCGAACCCATGTCCCCTGCATTGGCAGGCGGATTCTTAACCGCTGCATCACCAAGGAAGTCCCTCAATTTCCCCTTTTATGGCTGTTAGCATTTGCCTTATGTATTAAGGTGCTCCTATGTTGGGTGCATAAATATTTACAATTGTTATATCTTCTTCTTGGATTGATCCCTTGATCATTATGTAGTGTCCTTCTTTGTCTCTTGTAATAGTCTTTAAGTCTATTTTGTCTCATATGAGAATTGCTACTCCAGCTTTCTTTTGAATTCCATTTGCACAGAATATCTTTTTCCATCCCCTCACTTTCAGTCTGTATGTGTCCCTAGGTCTGAAGTGGGTCTCTTGTAGACAGCATATATACGGGTCTTGTTTTTGTATCCATTCATCCAGTCTATGTCTTTTGGTGGGAGCATTTAATCCATTTACATTTAAGGTAATTATCGATATGGATGTTCCTATTCCCATTTTCTTAATGGTTTTGGGCTTATTATTGTAGGTCTTTTCTTTCTCTTGTGTGTCCTGCCTAGAGAGGTTCCTTTAACATTTGTTGTAAAGCTGGTTTGGTGGTGCTGAATTCTCTTAGCTTTTGCTTGTCTGTAAAGGTTTTAATTTCTCTGTCAAATCTGAATGAGATCCTTGCTGGGTAGAGTAATCTTGGTCATAGGTTTTTCCCTTTCATCACTTTAAATATGTCCTGCCACTCTCTTCTGGCTTGCAGAGTTTCTGCTGAAAGATCAGATGTTAACCTTATGGGGATTCCCTTGTATACTATTTGTTGTTTTTCCTTTGCTGCTTTTAATATTTTTTCTTTGTATTTAATTTTTGATAGTTTGATTAATATGTGTCTTGGCATGTTTCTCCTTGGATTTACCCTGTTTGGGACTCTCGGTGCTTCCTGGACTTGACTGACTTTTTCCTTTCCCATATTAGGGAAGTTTTCAACTATAATCTCTTCAAATATTTCCTCAGACCCTTTCTTTTTCTCTTCTTCTTCTGGGACCCCTATAATTCGAATGTTGGTGTGTTTAATGTTACCCCAGAGGTCTCTGAGACTGTCCTCAATTCTTTTCATTCTTTATTCTGCTCTGCAGTAGTTATTTCCACTATTTTATCTTCCAGGTCACTTATCTGCTCTTCTGCCTCAGTTATTCTGCTATTGATTCCTTCTAGAGAATTTTTAATTTTATTGATTGTGTTGTTCATCATTGTATGTTTGCTCTTTAGTTCTTCTAGGTCTTTGTTAAATGTTTCTTGTATTTTCTCCATTCTATTTCCAAGATTTTGGATCATCTTTACTATCATTACTCTGAATTCTTTTTCAGGTAGACTGCTTATTTCCTCTTCATTTGTTTGGTCTGGTGGGTTTTTACCTTGCTCCTTCATCTGCTGCCTATTTCTCTGTCTTCTCATTTTGTTTAACTTACTGTATTTGGGGTTTCCTTTTCGCAGGCTGCACATTTGTAGTTCCCGTTGTTTTTGGTGTCTGGCCCCAGTGGGTGAGGTTGGTTCAGTGGCTTGTGTAGGCTTCCTGGTGGAGGGGACTGGTGCTTGTGTTCTGGTGGGTGGGGCTGGATCTTGTCTTTCTGGTGGGCAGGGCCATGTCCGGTGGTGTGTTTTGGGGTGTCTGTGAACTTATTATGATTTTAGGCAGCCTCACTGCTATGGGTGGGATTGTGTTTCTGTCTTGGTAGTTGTTTGGCATGGGGCATCCAGCACTGGAGCTTGGTGGCCATTGGGTGGAGATGGGTCTTAGTGCTGAGATGGAGACCTCTGGGAGAGCTCTTGCTGACTGATATTATGAGGGGCTGGGAGGTCTCTGGTGGTCCAATGTCTTGAACTCAGCTCTCCCGCATCAGAGGCTCAGGCCTAACACCAGGCCGGAGCACCAAGACCCTGTCAGCCACATGGCGCAGAAGAAAAGGGAGAAAGAAAGAAAGACAAAAAAAAAATTTTTAATAAATAAATAAAAGTTTTAAAAGTTTTAAATAATAATTATAAAAGAGAGTAACCAAACCAATGAACAAATCCACCAATGATAACAAGCACTAAAACCTAAACTAAGATAAACATAAAAATCAGAGGGACTTCCCTGGCGGTCCAGTGGTTGAGAGTTCACCTTCCAATGCAGGGGGTGCGGGTTCGATCCCTGGTAGGGGAGCTAAGATCCCACATGCCTCACGGCCAAAAGAACAAAACATAAAACAGAAGCAATACTGTAACAAATTCAGTAAAGACTTAAAACAAAAAAATTCAGAAACTAATCAGTCACAGACAGCAAACCCCAAGTCTACAGTTTCTCCCAAAGTCCACCTCCTCAATTTGGGATGATTCATTGTCTATTCACGTATTCCACAGATGCAGGTACATCAAGTTGATTGTGGGGATTTAATCCGCTGCTCCTGTGGCTGCACAGAGAAATTTCCCTTTCTCTTCTTTGTTCGCACAACTCCTGGGGTTCAGCTTTGGTTCTGGCCTCACCTCTGAGTGTAGGTCGCCCTCAGGCATCTGTTCCCACCCAGACAGGATGGGGTTAAAGCCGTGGCTGATTAGGGTGCTCTTGCTCGTTCAGGCGTGGGGGTGTGGGGGGAGGGTATGATAGTCATAACTGGAACGCGGGGCGAGCCTGTGGAGGCAGGGGCCCACGTGACATTGCAACAGCCTGAGGCGCTGTGTGTTCTCCCGGGGAAGTTGTCCCCGGATCCCGGGACCCTGGCAGTAGCTGGCTGCACAGGCGCCCAGGAGAGGAGGTGTGGAGAGTGACCTGTGCTCGCACACAGGCTTCTTGGTGGCGGCAGCAGCAGCCTTAGCATCTCATGCCCGTCTCTGGGGTCCACGCTGATAGCCACAGCTCGCACCCATCTCTGGAGCTCCTTTAAGTGGCACTTTTAATCCCCTCTCCTCGCACACCAGGAAACAAAGAGGCAAGAAAAAGTCTCTTGTATCTTTGGCAGCTCCAGAGTTTTTCCCGGACTCCCTCCCGGCTAGCTGTGGCACACTAACCTCTTCAGGCTGTGTTCACGCAGCCAACCCCAGTCCTCTCCCTGGGATCCGACCTCCGAAGCCCGAGCCTCAGCTCCCAGCCCCCGGGTGAGCAGACAAGCCTCTCGAGCTGGTGAGTGCTGGTCGGCACCGATTCTCTGTGCGGGAATCTCTCCGCTTTGCCCTCCGCACCCCTGTGGCTGCGCTCTCCTCCGTGGCTCCGAAGCTTCCCCCCTCCACCCCCCGCAGTCTCCGCCCGCAAAGGGGCTTCTAGTGGGTGGAAACCTTTCCTCCTTCACAGCTCCCTCCCACTGGTGCGGGTCCCGTCCCTATTCTTTGTCTCCGTTTTTTCTTTTTTCTTTTGCCTTAGCCAGGTACGTGGGGAGTGTCTTACCTTTTGGGAAGTCTGAGGTCTTCTGCCAGCGTTCAGTAGGTGTTCTGTAGGAGTTGTTCCACGTGTAGACGTATTTGTGATGTCTTTGTGCCGAGGAAGGTGATCTCCATGTCTTACTCTTCCGCCATCTTGAAGGTCCCCCTATCAAATAATGCAATTTTAAAACAAATATTCTTTCAACTTATACAGTGCTGTATGTCAATTATACCTTTAATAAAACTGGAAATAAAGAATCTAAGCCTAATAAAAATTAATAATATTCTTTCAAATGGGCATTGTTAGGGAGCTATTCTTCCCCATATCTGATATTTCTTCCATATTCAGGGAGCTCTGTTAGTTTAACTCTGGAAGGCTCTCTTCATGCCCTTCTCAGCCCCTCTTCAACACCAAACTATCCTAGGGGCCTCCCCTCCCGAGGGGAGGTAGAGGGATTCATCTGATGGTAAATTGGAGATGAATAAACTGGGCTTAATTCCTCCTTTTCCCCTTTGGAAGCCAGCAAGTGTCTCAGCTCACTTCATGGCCGAATTTTATAGTCTGTGAAGTGTTATCTCAAGCCCAACTTTTGGTGTATGTGCTTTGACACAGAAATAAAATTAAGAGTAGAATTTATAGACCCAAATAACACATTAAGAGTATTCTTGCAGGGCTTGGATTCATGGACAATGGACTTGAATGTGTGGGGAGGGAATGACCCTTTGGCAGATCATAAAGCCTGACTTACACTGTGCCAGGAGGGGGTTTACCATGGTGTGATTGGAATTTTACTGCTGCAACTTGACCTTGGCAGGTGATTCCTACTTTTGGCAATTTTGTCCACAGGCTAGTGGCTGTTTCATACAGGCAGAACTGTGCACATGGGTGGATTCATGCAAGTCTTTGGACCATGTAGGCCTCAGCAAAGGCATGGGGGTGGGAGACCTGGGGTGGGTTGAAGAGGTGCAGTTCTAATCTCAGGGAAAATGTGTGCCATTAGCCCACCCTAAGCCAAATGCTGGAGGCTTTATAACACAGGCTGTTGCATTTTACTCCACACGCACACCTGAGGCAGAGACTCAAGTCTAAAAGACAGTCATTCCACATTAGACAGTAGAAGAAAGAATAATGTTTGCTGCATTCAACGCAAGACTCTTGAGTCCTTTCCATGCTCCAGAACACTGGGGAGATAATAGCTATGAATTATCAGAGCCAGTCTTTACGAAGGCAGAACTTGATCAGCTGCCCCAAATTCACTCTGAAATAAGGATGAGATGGAATCTATGCAAGGCCTAATATTGAATTTATGAAGTTTGTCCACAGGCTCAAGAATAGAAAATATTTAAGAATTACTGGGTGTGTTTCAAGATGATCCCATTATTGTAGGTGGCATGCAGGTGCTCTGAGGGAACACGTTTGAGAAAATTTATGAAGTTCAACACAACAAAAATAGGTACTGTGGAGCAGAAACTGGTTCTCACTGGACTCCTCTAAGCACATGGTTCGCAACTGCACAGCACATATAATCATCAATTAATTCAAAATCTCTAGGGATAGGAGCCAGGCATTGGTATTGAGATATCAACTTGGAATAAAGTATGTAAAGTGCCTAGCCTTGAACCTGGCAAATAGCTGGCATCTTCTAGATAGATATTGGTGCCTGTCCCAATTTCCTCCCCTACACAATGTGGTCTTTCCTTTTCCTAGGATGACTGGGTAAATTACCCAAAGAATTTAAATGGTCTTACCAACACTTTTTCACAACAGGTAATCCAACACTGCAGTTTAAATCCAGCCATCTCAGAAAAGCTTATTTGAACAGTTATTTTTCTTTGAAGACTTAGTAGTCTCATAATCCCAACATTGTTCCTTCTTCTTCCCCTTCCCTGAACTAAAAAATACAAGTTTCTCAGTTCTTTAACCAGGACACACATCACTACCAACCATAAAGATATAGGATAATTACATATAAGAGTAATCTGAGCAGTAGGGAAATAGAATTTCTGCTTTGTATGTTTCAAATATATGCTGTTTCCAAGATATTTCTAGACATTTTATGGCTGGATTCTTCCCAGGAAAGTTGGTTCTTCCATCAGAAATTTGCTCTTTCTATCTAAGGATTTTCAGATCTTTGGAAAGTACTTTCCAAAGTCCAGAATTTTAAACCACTGAGGGATAATTAATGAGGATAAAAAAGGTATTGGGGGTTTAGCCAGCACCACACAAAGCCAGGCCCACAGCCTGACAGCTCCAGCTGCCAGACCCATGAGACTTTGCTTTTCCCAGGTCAACAAGGATTCACCGCATCCTAATGCTCATTATACACATTTGATATTCATTTTGTTTCTGAGTACTTATTGGGCTTAGTTTTCTTTACTTGACTGTCTCTAGGTTAAGATTTTTTTTTTTTTGGTTATTAGAAAAAAGAGGTCCGATTGCCAGTTATGACGGCTTCCAGTTATGAACTTATTAACGATTTCTTGCATGTTTATAACATTCCTGACCATTTCCATTTCAAATTTTGCCATGACCCTTAACCTGTTTTCCAAAATCACAATTTCTGCAGAGAACAACATGTTTTGTTGGAATCACTTGAAATAATGTCACAAATTACTCTTGGAGATATCGTGAGCCAGGTGCAATGTCATGTTCGCCTCGTTTAGTTATTGCTCTTGGCCTTGCCGCAACTGATGCTCAGATTGTATTAAATAGACATGACTTATTCGGGTCTCACCTTACCGGCAAAGCTGACTGAGCTTTCTCTCCACTTGATGTGTGCTGTTTAACATCACGATGATTCCTGGATTACATCCCTTTTCATTTACTGTCTGTCATTCCATGCAGCTCACTTCCTGGCTCATTATTCCTTCTCTGTCTTTTTGTTCCATAACTTAACATGATCGCTGGATAGCAGTCTTGGAAAGAGAGTCTGAGCAGATTTATCATTCTGTGGAGGAGCTGGTGTCAAAATCCATTTCAAAAATTCAGATCTTTGAAGATGAATTCCTTGATGGCCCCAAACTTTCTTTGAAGTGTAAAGAAGCTCCATAATCAAAACCAAAACTCGATAAGTGAGTATTGAAGTGCTAATGCTAGGTCTACTTATTCTTATAATGATGGTGATATTACAGCTACTAACATTTATTAGGTACTAACTGTAGTATATGTTCTAAATATTTTGCATGCATTGATTGCTTCATTTAATCTCACAACAGCCCTATAGAGATTTCTTTTCATCCTTGGTTTTCAGATGAGGTACAGAGAAAGTAAGTAATATGTCCAAGATCACTCAATGACTAGACAGTGAAGCCATGATTGGAACTTGAACAAATCTGATTCCAGATTCTATAGCTCTTAACCACCACCTAGTGTAATAGAAAGAGGAGATCAAAGTGGTACTAAACAAACTCTTCTCAGGAAAAAGGACAGGATATTTTCATCTTCAGGTATCTTTTGGAGTCAAGTTAATTGGTTGTAAGGCATAGGACCTGTCAACTTTCATTTATGGATATGGCAATTTTAATGTCTTTAAAAACACAAGCACTATTTCTTATTCTTTCATTTAATAAACATTGGTTGGATAAGCATCTGTCAGAAGGTACCATACTATGTGTGGGTAGTACATAAAGTTAAAAAAGACACATTTCTTGCCTCAATTGTTCCCCAAAAGACTAAAGCAGCAGGCATGAAAACAGAGGCTTGAAATACAGAGTGATACATGTTATGATGGGGGTGTACACAAAGCATAAGGCTAAAGGAAAGGAGACCACTCAATTTGGGTTTATGGCATTATGTCAACTGTGATGTTCGGGTATTACCCTCAGCAATTTAGCTCCTCTGGAAAGAATCTAAAACTGTTTCTGTAACAAATCAGCTTTTTTCCAAGAGATATACTACAGTGTTGTGTTTTAAGAATGTAAGCTGTGGAGTCAGGGTAGTTGAATTTGAATCCTGGCTCCATGAACTTTGGGCAACTTACTAAACCTCCCTGTGGCTCAGTTTCCTTATCTATAAAATGAGGATAACAATTTTAATAATGGAATTGTTGTGAGAATTGAATAAGTTAATACATGTGAATTCCTTAGAGCATTACCTGACATATAATACATATAATACTGTATGTATTAAATATTTTTACTATAAATAAAAATATTGATAATCTATGAAAAATCTTTATAAACTAAGAATGGATAACTTTCTTCAAATGGACCAGGTATTATTAATGAGCCTCTAATATATTCTAGGTACCTTGCCAGGGTGTGGGGAACAAATTCAATTTAGGGGCTCAGGAATACTCCAGAAGCTTATAATAAAATGGAGGCAACAAAAAAACTAGGCAAAATACATTAGAATAAGTGATATTTAAATATAAAGTGCTATGGGAAGATGCAGATGAATGGAAAAAATTAATTCAGTCCTGATGGATCCAGAAAAGCTTCACTGACATTTGAGCCAGACCTTGAAGGAATCCAACTAAATGATTACCAAGGTCATTCCTGGCATAGGGAGCAGCATGGAAAAGATATGAAGAGATAACAGAAGAAAAGAAAGTTGAAGGCTCATGAGGTGCTACTGGAGCAGTGTCTGGAGATGAGCCGGGAAGAAGGGGATTAGTTCTTACTAAGAGCCTTGTAGTCAATTCCAAACTTGTGAGCAAGTAATATAACATGATAACATCTGCATTTTAGAAATATCATTCCTCTGGCACAATGGGCAATGGATTTGAAGACAGTATAAAGTAGAAAAACTCATCAAGAGATTGTTGCAATGATCTTAGAGAGAAGTGATGATGACCTGAACCAGGGCCATGGCTAAGGGAAGAGGAAGAAAGAAGATACAATAGAAGTATCAACAAGGCAGAGTGACAAACTAGACATGGTAGATAAAGAGATGTACTGCAGGATGTTTAGCAGCATCCCTGGCTTCTGCCCACTAGATACCAGTACCACTTCCCCTCTACCCCAGCTGTGACCACCCTTCAGACATTGTCAAATATCCCCTGAGGGGCAAATGGCCCCAGGTAAGAACTACTGCTCTAAAGTCCTCTCTATCTCTAAATTGCTTTGAATATTCATCAAAGCAGAAAGAATCCAGGAAACTTCATAGAATTTCACATGAACATTTTAAATCTTAGTTATACTTCCCACAATTTTCATACCCTTTAATCTAAAAGTTCAACACCTGTGTGCTTGCTCTCTAAATCTCCAATTGCTATGGCAGTCTTCCCGGTCTGCTTAGTCCAATCCTTGCCTATCTCAGCTTTGCTCTGCATCAGAAAACTGCCTTTCCCAGGCTCCCTTGCTTTCTGGTGTCCAGGTGAGGTCAGCCAATGGAAGGCACTGTCAGAAGACTGGAGAGCGGAACAAGGAAGAAACCACGGCATGTCTCCCTTTCTCTGTTCTGACAGTAGCCACTGAGTCACCTTCATGGCTTCTGTTCCTGCTAGACAGTCCTTCTTCTGTGTCCCTGCCATGGTTCCATCTTCCACCAGGTGGCCTTAGATCCTGGGATCTGGTAACATTTTCTCTGTCCCTCCAGGCCTACAAGTGGTAGCAACTTCCTACTGTTGCTAATCTCTGGTTTACCTTGCCATCGCATTTGACTTCTTACTTCTTCCATCACCTACCTGTGCAAGCAGTTGCTACAAACTAAACTGTGTCCCCCCTGCACCCCAAATTCATACGTTTGGGCCCTAACCCTCAGTGTGGCTGTATTTGGAATAAGGAAGTAATTAAGGTTCAATGAAGTCAAAGGGTGAAGCCCAGATCTGACAGGATGGCTGTACTTTTAAGATAAGACACTAGAGAGCTCACTCTCTCTCCCTGTCATGTGAGAACGAAGCAAGCAGGTGGCTGTCTGCGAGCTAGGAAGAGAGCTCTCACCAGGAACTGAATCTGCCAGGACCCTGATCTTGGACTCCCAGCCTCCAGAACTGTGAGAAGATTCATTTCTGTTGTTTAAGCCACCAGTCTGTCATATTTTGTTACAGCAGCCTGAGCTAACTGAAACAGCAGTTCCCTGTGTTATATTTCCATTATTTGTAATGGCTAGAGAGGTTTTGTTTCTCTGCCTACCCTGACTGACACAGTTCTTTACATCATTGATACCATAAAATATTTACCACGAACTATCTTAGTATGTGCCTGACTATGCAAAAGGCATGTTCATATTCATTTCCTAATCTATTTCTTCCAAAAACTCTGTAAGGTAGGGCAAAATGATACAACATAAGGAGCACAAGTTTTGAGTCACTTGACTCAGTCACAACTCCTCTACTTACCAGCTGCATGACCCAAGAAAAGGTAGTTAATCTCATTAGACCCTGGTAGCCTCCTCTATTAAATGGGTCTAATAATAGTACTAACCTAAGAGGGTTGTTCTGGATTAAATGAGTTACCCTATGCAATGTACTTACAATATTTTTAGGCATATAGTAAGCTCTCAATAAATCTAAATATTATTTTTAGCTACAATTTATTGAGTGCCTATTATGTGCCAAGCCCTGGGACGGGTACTAGGGACATAAAGACAAATAAGAAACAATCGATGTCTTCAAGGAGTTGCAGTATAATCACAGAGGCAAACACATAAACAGGTAATCATAATAAAATATGGCACCTTTATTAACAGACATATTCTGGGAAAGCCAAATAGAGCACGATCCACAGACAGGGTTTGAGAGGCAACTGTCAATGTCTGAATCCCAGTTCTGCCAATTACTTATGGTTTGGCCCTGGGCAAATTACCTAACTCCTCTAAGCCTCTATTTTCTCACCTACAAAATGAGGCTAGTAGTAGTATCTACGGCATATGGATGTGGTGAGAAGAAACAGATAATACAAGTAGTTTCTGGTATAGTTCCTGGAAGATGGCATGCTCAGAAAAGGATAGTTATATTTGTCATGAATAGGGAGCAGAGAATTGGGTTGCCTAACCTAGCCCAGGGCTCCCCCAAGTTCTTGCTCCCCACTGGTTCCTCTGATCTATTTCATCTACTTCCTCTTCCTCCTCAGAAGAGGCGGCTGAGTCTATCATACTTTTCTACTATGAGTATAGATTAATATAGCCACTTATAAAATTTCTCTACAGACTCTATGAAATCTAATTACAGTATATGTATACAAAGCAGTTCCACTCCTGCACGTCTACCTAGAAATGAGTACATAATGTGTACCAAAAGATGTAAAAGAATGTTTATAGCAGCTTTGCTCACAATAGCACCAAATTGGAAGCAAACCCAATGCCCATCAACAAGAGGATGGATAAATACACTGTGATATATTCATATAGCGTGGGATGCTACATAGCAATGAGAATAAACTAAAGTGACGCAAAACAATACAGATAAATCTCACAGACAACATGTTGAGCAAAGGAAGCTGGAGTTCAGACTTTACTTTCTATTTAAAGAAAGTTCAAGAAGGAGTAAAATAAATCTATGGTCATAGAAATCAGAAGAATGGTTACCTTTGGGGAGGTATTTGCTGAAGGGCAGTGGCGTACTGGTAAATGTTTCACAACCAGCACTCCAAAAAAAGCCCTGATTTTATAGAATTTGCCTATTTCTATGATGTAAATCCTTAAATACCCCCAGTGTGGTGGATTTCAAGTTACCAACTTGATGTCACTGAGCACGAAGTTGGGAAGAGATGGATATGTATATAGTCTGCTCTGGCAAGTCGGTGAGCTCCAACTCCAGCCGCCCCGGGGGGTAACATGAAGGGGTGTTCTGGTGTGCTGGAAATGCTCTATATCTTGATCTGGACAGTGCTTGCTATCCAGGTAGTGAATACTTAAGATTTGTTCACTTTATTGTGTGTATACTATACCTTGATATAAAGTAAAATGTAAAAATGCCTGTGAGAGCTACAAAGGGAAAAGCACTTATAACTATTTCCCAGAGGAAGATTCAGAGACGTACCAGAGATTCAATGGCTGGAAAGGCAGCATTCAGATCTTCTTGTCCTCACAACAGAGAGAAAAAGAAACACTATTAGTAGACACTGGCATAAACAGACAAGAGACGGTGACTCTTTTAGCTGGGCCACTCTCAACCTTCCAACATGAGGCTTAATTCGATCTTACCACCAATGGTTGATACATCACACAAGACAGAGTGTTGCTTCTGAAAAGCCTAGATGCACTGCCTTAACTAACTATGGTCCTGTTACTTAGAGATTATTATTCCACTGGGTGGCTCCAGATGAATGCTTTAAGCACAGTACCACCTGAACACAATGATCAGACAGGAAAAAGCATCAATGTAAACAATGCTACTTTTATTTTGAGGAAAAATGCACATTCATCTAATTTCTTTGTGTCCCTGAAATCTTAAATATGTTCAATATGACTGGAAGATCTCTGTGATCTAGCTAAATGACACATTTTAATAGGACAGCTGCTCTTAACACAGCACTCATATGTTTAAAGTTACAAATCCAAAACAAAATTTTAAAGGGGTTTGACCAATGATGACTTGACACATCTACAGACTTATTTCTTCCTGATCTGGCAGTACAGGACAATAGAAAATATCAGACCAAGTACCTAGAAAATAAGAGGATTAACATGGAATTTAAAGTAAAACACTGGAGATATTATAAATAAAAAGAACATTGTATATGAAAAGATTCTGGCTACTGACAATTCGAATGTTATTTATCTAAGTCATCTCTCTTCCTGGGAAATTAGAGACTCTAACATTGAGAAAACGCTCAGTATTTTTGTGTTTCAATCAGGGTTTTCAGCTAGCAGTCTGCCTCTAACTGGCCCTATTTGATTGTGCAGTAGCAGCTGTCACTGAAGCAACCCACCCTTTTAGAATACACACACCCTTCTGTAGGGCATGGCCATGGAACTCTGGGGAACTCAGGCCTCTGGGTCTAAAGATGCCTACTGCTTCTATGAAAAGCTTATAATCATCTGGTTTAGATCATCCACGTAAAAATCAAGGAGTCTAGAATTTCTCTTGCCATATTTTTAGGCATCGCCAAGAGGAATGAAAGAAAAAGTAACCCTTTTCTTAAAAAGCTTCTAAATTGAAGGGGAATGGCATCATTCAGGAATTTCCTTTGAAGTGAAAATGTACAGCTGAAAATCTGGGGCATAATTTCCATCTCATTAAGTGGCTCTCCCAAGAATGAGGGACCCCAGCACTTGCCCTAATTGGCTCTAAAGTTGGTGAGTGGCATGCTGTGGCTTTGATGTAGAAATGACAGAACCTCTGTGTATTGCAGATAGAAAGTTTCCTCTCCACCAGCCTCCTCTGAGGGGAGTCAGGGAGAGGATGACATGCCATTTATGCTGAGTCATCTCCAGCGCTCCTACTGTACGGAGATGTCCTGCTTACTAATTCTTTCCAGGAAATGCCTTTCAAATGAGAACTGCTGCCCAATATTTTTTCCTTCAAAAAAATAAAAAATACTGAGGGACTTCCTTGGCCATCCAGTGGTTAAGACTTTGCCTTCCAATGCAGGGGATGCGGGCTCGATCCCTGGTCAGGAGCTAAGATCCCACATGCCTCGTGGCCAAAAAACCAAAAAGAAAACAGAAGCAATATTGTAACAAATTCAATAAAGACTTTAAAAATAGTGCAAGTCAAAAACTCTTTAAAAAAAATATTGACACCAATTCTTTGCAAAAGTAATGACTTTCATTCAGAATGTTCTAAAAGTCATTCTTTTTGAATGACCGGAGAAAATGTTACAATTTAGTCTTTTGCTTTGGTCCCAAGCCTTAAGTCTGGGAGATGAGTATCAGGAAAGAATCACGAAAATGGGCAAAACAGTGGGATAAGGCAGCTATCATCTTTTACTGTCACATCCGTGAAATAGAAGCCCAGCTTGCATCAGCAGACTAGACAGTTAATACCATACTTTCTTGCATTTCACTGCCTCTGAAAAGAAAATGTATCATTGTTCATAAAAATAGGTAATAATTAAAAGAGATTCATCCTATAGTAATGGATGCTAAGACTCAGGATAAACTTGCTAAGTAATGTACACGTGCTCCCCATATTCTGAAGCCATCTAAAAAATGTAAAATTATTTTTTCTCTCTTTTAACTGCTCCATTCCTGGGACCATTCCTGGGTCCATTCCTGGGACCTCCTGTCAGGATAAGTTTTATCCTACAAAGTGGTGACTATCAGTGTCAATGGCTTTTTTTTTTCCTTAATTAAAGTGAGGAGAGAAAGTGCTGATCATTTTTTGTGCTTGTAAGTTGCTGTAGTCAAATAAGGAGAGATATGATAGTCTGGTTAATGCAGAATAATGAGAATTCCAGTGTCTATAGATAACATTTTCTTACAAAATAAAGCATTTTGCATAGATTTCTAGCATCCTACCTGAGAAGAATCCCTCAGGTATATGTTCTTAACAGAGCCTTGACAAAAGCTATTGGCCATTCCATCAGAGCCTATGCCTAAACAGACTAACGCCAATGATGTAAACGTCAGAGGGTGGGTTTTTTCATATGATATTTTTCTATGGAGATAGTTTTAAGTGTATTTTCTGCAGGGAGATATTTGCTTTGTTTGCTTCTTAAAAATATTTATTAGAAGTATTTTTCTGTCTATATATCTTTATGTTTTCTTGAATTTGAAGTTGGGGAAAAGAGAATGTAGACGGGCCTAAGTGTTAGGCAACTAGTATTAAGACTGTAAGACAGACTGATGGACATTTTTTGGATATGTTTTTATAGAATAGCTATCTCAGCTATAGACTATTTTCAAAGCTATTTTTTAAAGTAAAAATGAGAGGGAATACAAAATGATTTTTCTTTCTCTTCAAATCCCAGAGGGAGGGCAGATTTTCTATTGAGAGAGTGAATGAAAAATTTCAAACAGTTCTTTGAACCAACTATCGTATCTACATAAAGTCTACAAATCACACTTAACTGGCATAACTTGAAATGGTTAGAGTTTGTGATATTACCATGTAAATTCTATACCTAAAAATTCCTCTATGAAAGGTTTTCAGTAAGGTATTTTCATATATATATATATATATATATATATATATATATATCTTTAGAACAACCAATAGAATATCTAAATATATAACAAATATATATATGGAGTATACCAATTTCATAAAATACTGAAATGCTATTCTTCTTGTAATCTTATTTTCCATCAGATGTCTTTAGATTCTTGGCAATGTCTTTGGCTATGATATGAGAGACATCAACCTTCCCAGCTGATTATGTCCTTTTTTCCCCGGCTTTGCTTTTGAGAAGCTTCTTAAAAGCATCTGTGGGTTGTGGCCAAAGTCAATTGTCTGAATTTGAGTCTAAGATGGAATGTGACACTTATATTGACACTTACATTGAATACCTCAATTATTTTTTTTAATAAATTTATTTTATTTTTGGCTGTGTTGGGGTCATCGTTGCTGCATGTGGGCTTTATCTAGTTGCGGTGAGCAGGGGCTACTCTTGGTTGCGGTGCGCGGGCTTCTCATTGCAGTGGCTTCTCTTGTTGCGGAGCATGGACTCTAGACGCAAGGGTTTCATTAGTTGTGGCACATGGGCTCAGTAATTGTGGCTCAAAGGCTCTAGAGTGCAGGCTCAGTAGTTGTGGCACACAGGCTTAGTTGCTCCGTGGCATGTGGGATCTTCCCAGACCAGGGCTCGAACCTGTGTCCCCTGCATTGGCAGGCAAATTCTTAAACACTGTGCCACCAGGGAAGCCCTGAATACCTCATTTAAAGCTGGCTCATTTAAAGTCTACTTTACCAACACATGTGTGTGTTTTAGTTTACGGATGTGTGAGTACATATGTGTGATTGCTCACTTACATCCACAGCCATTAACTCATATTTCTAAATTAGCATAAACCCAAAATACAAAGCAGAGAAACAAAGGACATTTTACAGTGGGTAGAATTGAGAGAAACAGACCTAACGCACAGCACCATTTGACTTTGGTCATATATCGGACATAAAGGAAGACAGTCGCATCTACAAACAGAAAATGCTTCATGTTTGGGCTACAAGGAGGTCATGCTTAATAGCCCAATTTGCTTCTCATAGTTCCAGCCCTTTCTCTTATGGTTGGCTGAGAAATTCCACCGGTAACCTAAATGACCACTTAGGACACTAAATTGCTTCAATCTCAGCTAAAGTTACTCTCTGGCAGTGATGTGGCACAAGTAAGAGGTAAAAGCTACCAGAAAACCCAAGGAGAACGTTGTACAATATTTCATGAGAGTGAAGTAAAACTCATTTAGCTGAGCAAACCAGCCCGCAGAGGCGTTAACTAGGGAGACACCTCACATCGTTAGGATTCTTGCCAATGCCCTGACGTGGACTGGTGAGTGAATTTGACTCACTTGATATCTAAATTAGCAAGATCTGGGATGATTACAAAAACACTTCCCTGAAATAGCTTTATTTCAACTTTTTGCAAAGAATTTCAGGCCACGTTAAAAAAAAAAAAATCCTTCAGGTTCCGAAAACACCATGCCAGAAGAGTCTAGCAAGATAAAAATCCTATACAGCATTTTTTTTTCAAAGTCAATAATCAAATTGATGAGAGTAAATGCAGAAACCTCAAGCAGAGCGTCCTTAAACAGTTCTCCAAGCGAGTCCATAGTCCTTACAGTGAGAAAATCAAAGTCAACTGTCTAGTTTTTAGAACCTGTTAGATTTCTCTAGACTAGAATAGCAGGAAAACAGTTCTCCACACTCTTGAGCTCAGTTTTTATTTTCTATTTCAAAATCAGAAAGAGGGATAAAAACTTGTAAAGCTTGTGTTTTTATTTTGTTTGGTGCTTCTTCTAACTTCAGGAAACATTAACCCTTGTGCTAGTTTTCAATGGGAAAAGGATATCTGGGACTAAGAACCGCGTGGAAGTTAATTCAGCTTCTTCCCCCAGGAGAGAGATCATTCAGAAATAATAGCTTCTGCCCTGCCAATTTCCTAAGACTATAATCCCCTCCCCAGACCCAAGGCCAGTAGAGGCAGATGCTGGGCCTTGGGCACTTGGTACCCAGTGCTTTTCTGAAGCACCTGGTTTTTATTTGGCTCTTCATAAATATTTGTTAGAAAAATTAATGAGCAAACAAGGGAGTAAACAAAGAATTAATAATGCAAGATAATACTATACCTCAACAGCTGCCAGTCCAAACGCTAGTCCAATAACTATGGAAAGACTTCTTGAAAATAAGCATCTTATCAAAGAAAAGCATGACTGTTAAAAACATTAAAAAATTACCTTTAGTCAAATTTTGACCTTATTTTAGTACAGTACAAATTTTTATTTATTGGGCTAACTTTTTACATTGCTATCAAGGAACATACTCAACAGAAAGGAACTGGATTATTCCCGCCACTCCAAGCTCCTTCCCCCCTCCGAAAGGTTATAACTGTTGTGGTTTGTTCATACATTAGGAAGCATTTGAGGAACAAAGTTTTGCTTCAACTACCTAACTACTGAATCTAGGGCTATTTAGTTATAAATACTCATTTTATCCTAACTTCTGATTGTTCATTTTAGAGCTGTTATCACCTTGACTGTGTATTTTTTAGGTTTGTAACCTGCAGCAGAGAGTTCCCTCGTTGAGGTTTCAGCTAATTATAGTGTAGATTTTCATTTTTTTAATGATTTTTTAAAAAAATTTTATTTATTTTTTGGCATGTTGGGTCTTCGTTGCTGTTCGTGGGCTTTCTCTAGTTGCAGCGAGCAGGGGCTACTGTTCGTTGTGGTGCGCAGGCTTCTCATTGCAATGGCTTCTCTTGTTGCAGAGCACAGGCTCTAGGCACGCGGGCTTCAGTAGTTGCGGCACACGGGCTCAGTAGTTGTGGCACACGGGCTCAGTAGTTGTGGCTCACGGACTCTAGAGTGCAGGCTCAGTAGTTGTGGTGCACAGGCTTAGTTGCTCCGTGGCATGTGGCATCTTCCTGGACCAGGGATTGAACCCATGTTCCCTGCATTGGCAGGTGGATTCTTAACCACTGAGCCACCAGGGAAGTCCCTACATTTTCATTTTTAAAACAAGGTTTTTTTCCAAAATCCCTTAATATGTGTCAGGGTTATTTTTACCTCAAAGAGGAAAAAAAATCATTATGTCCACTGTTATGCTCTTACTTTAGACAAAAAAGAGAATTTAGAAATTTGTCTCTCTGCCACATTTTTAAACATTTATTCAAACCAGCATGAAATTTCAAGCTTAACATATTTTAGACCAGACCTAAAAATTTCAACAATTGTAAATTATATGAATAATTTTAAAAATGGAAAAATAATATACAATATAATAGTGTTATTGTCTGTATTGCCAGAAAGTATATCATCCCTACGATGGTCTTATATGTGCAAAGGGCTAACAAAATATTGCTATTTGTTAAATAAAATAAAAGTTCTCCGTGAGGTTAATACAGTCTCTTCCCCTTCATTCCTGAATGTAATGGGTTTCTCCATTCTCATCTGATCCAAAGTGGTAAACATTAGAGGAAATTATTACATCATCTAAGATTAACTATGAGATTAATGGTATCTACTGAGTCACATTCATTATATTTTAGGGGTTTTCTCCCCCTCCCCCTCTAGATAACCAGGTTATCTTGGCAAAAGGGAGGGGAAAAGAGAAATGTGAATTATGGCCATTCCAGATTTCTTATTTTTCCAGACTTCTTGCAAGTGACACAAGGCAGATGGAAGTCTTTCATGAATTTATGATCTTCCTTTTGGGAAACTGGTGCAGCTATAAGTCTATCTTCAGCTGAATTATGTGTGAATTTGGGGGAATATCTATTATTTTTCAGGATAATGCTAGGGCATTTCAAAATCTATCCTGAGGAAACACATCTTTGAGTTGAATCTTTAACAGGACACAGATAGCAATCTACAATTTAATTTATTAATTTCCTCATTATCCTAAGTGGAAACTACATTTGTTTACACGATAGTTATTTCCCCTCCTCCTTGTGGATATTGCGTCCCTAAAATTACATAGAGAGGAGGAGAGCAGGGAGGAATATAAAAATTAATAATGAAAACTTTTAGTGATATTACTTTGATGATGAAAAGACATGGTAGCTCTGTAATCTGGTAGATAACTTCTCCCCCATGTGTTACTTTAAATACTAGTAACAGCAATTTCCCTTCAGAACAGTCTCCTTTATTTTGATAAAATTAGTAAAAGGGATGTGATAGTCAACAGGTGAGACGTTTCCCCTGAGATACTTTCCATTTCCTAATATATAATTAACCTCAGTAGCCATTACTAAACCAATGCTAGATTGAAAATATTCTTTAGGGATTACAGAAATTAACTCACTGAACTATAATAGCTTTCATGTATCTCTCCCTCATCTAGCCTATAATCTCCTAGAGGGTCCACAAGCATGTCTGATTCCAGCAAGGGTCTGTCTGACACCTAGTAAGCAGCGAAGAATAACAGCAAATAAATGAAACATTAATATCAACGGTCATTTCTGTACACTTCCCTTCCAGGCAGAAGGAACAAATTATGTAAAGCCCTATGGTAAGAGACATATCATGTCCTGCAGGAAGCTGTATCTTGAACCCCAAAGACTGAGTTAAATGGGGTCCCATCATATCTTGTGCCTGGTCCTATCCAAGAAATACCAATAGTTCATTGGATTGAAGTTGCCTACTTATCTTTCTCTCTTCCCTATTAAAGCATTCACTCTGTGAGTGCAGACATTGCGCCCTATTTAGGAATGGATCTCCAGCAGCTGGTGAAAGGCCAGTACATAGGAAGTGGTCAATAAATATTTGATGAATTAAGGAATAATAAGAAATATAACATCCACATATTAACATTCGCAAGTGAAATAAATACGTCATCTTTACAACACGTGAAAGACAAACCTAAGTTTTTCTCTTTTTTTTTGGCTGCACCAAGTGGCAAGTGGGATCTTAGTTTCCAGACTAGGGATGTGCCCCCTGCAGTGGAAGCACAGAGTCGTAACCACTGGACCACCAGGGAAGTCCCCCAAGTTTTTCAATTGACTTTAAAGGCATGAGGCAACTTCTCAATTGGAGCAGTAATTAGGCAAATTGGTACGTACACTTAACAACCAGAGCGGAAACCTCTAAAGCCCAAGTTATTTCTTTACACCCAATACAATTACTTAAGAGAAACTTTGATTAGAAAAAGAAAGCTTTACTTTGAAAATTAAAGTGAAAATATAGATTTCTAAGACCTATGTTAAAATAGAAAAATAGAGGACGATAATGATTAAAGTCACCAAAGAGAGGACAAAATAAACTTTTATCTGTTAGCTTGTACTTTGCCTCCCCTTGCAGTAGAATGTTTCTTTGATCTACTAAAGTTGAATTTAAATGATGCCAGACTCACAGAAGAAATAAAATACTTTCATTTTTATATCTACTTTTATCTTTAAATAAGGATTTTTTTTTTATTTGGGAAATTCCTGGGACTTTTATCTCATGATTCCCATTGTAATTGCTGCAATTTAATATTTTGTGGAGACTTTCATTGTGGAAAAAAAAAAACAACAGAAGCACTTACTGTGCCAAATTTGATTTGTTCTCACCTGTTTGTAAATAGTTTTTCCATCATACTTTGTACAAGAAGAATCTGATGCACCTCGACATTCACATGACTTGTAATAGTATTGAAAATTATTTCCCCAATCAGAAGCTCCATTGATCAAACCACAACATTTTAACTGTTTGATGAAAAGTAGATATGAAAAACAGTCACGAGAGAAGACAAAAACTTTGTCAATACATTGACTCACATTCTTCTGAAACCACTATTAAGATGTTTCTTATACTAGCATATCGTATAAGTCACCTCACCTAACTCCCTGAATGAAGAAACAAAAATGAAGGAATCTTCCATTTTGGTCTTCATGTTAATGAAGGAAAAAATAGAGTTTCAGATGAAAAAGTCTGAAGAACTTGGAGAGAATACAAAAAACTCACCTTCTAGTTCTTAATGAAAAAAGAGAGGGGCAGAATCAGATTTACGCTTCTTAGGTCTTAGAAAAGAAGCTTCCAGAGAGTTCATGAGAGAGTCAAGGTCTCTTTAAAGAACTTTTACTCAAAAAAGATGAGAGGTTTGAAAAGTGAAGTTTCTATCTCATGACCTTTGATCACTTTTGGAGGAGAGGGGGAAAAGAATGAGAGGCATCTCAAAGGCCAAAGAAGATGCTTAGTGGACCTTCCATGAGACTGAATTTTACACGGACATCTGTAAAACAGCTAAGGGGTGAAAATGATGAATGAAACTCTTAGAATAATGTCGGGAAGGTTAAGGCTCAAAATAAACCAAAACATGGGGAAACACTAAGGAAAGTTGTGATCATGTTTGGGGAAGTAAAACAAGAAAGGGATAAGCCCAATGACTCAGAGTAATGGCACATAATATTATTAGATGAAAGAGAGAGGTCATTATCTCATCTTGCCCTATTTGCTTTAATTAGAGAGAAAACTTCTCATGCAGAAAGGTAGAAAAAAATTGAAAATAGAACCAAGACTGGGTGTTTTTCTAAGGCTCAAGTGCATTGCAACGGTAGGCTATTGAAAGGACTTACACTTACTGGCTGGTGACCACGTTACCCATGTTACTTAAACCTCTCTGTGCCACAGTTTCTTCATCTGTAAAATACAGATAATAATAGTCGCTAATGATAGTATCTAATTCATAGAGTTGTTGGAAAGATAAAAATAGAATACCCATGTGAAGATATGAACTGTTTAGCCCAATGCCTGGCTTGTAGAAAGTACTCACCACGTGTTAACTGTCATCATTGTTTTTGTTTTGTGTTTATTGTTGTTGTTTCCTTTGTGCTCTAACATGAACATGATCTGTTCAACACTGATATCAGTACTTTAGATAACATTATAGAGAGTGTCTTTTCAACTCTGTAGTTGATATAGAGCTGGGAGTGGTGATTAATACATTGGAGAACAAAATGGAGTTCCAAAAATAGTTCAAACAATGGACTTAAACTAACAGGTTCAACTGTGGCAGATATAAAGTCTTGTGCTTTAGCTCAAAGATTTACTTGCACAAATGTATGACTCATTAGGCATTCACGTGACAAAGAGCTGGAGATTTCTGATGGTCTCAAGGTCAATCAGTATTAGCAAAGAGAGTAATCTTGAAACAACTTCCTTTCTTGTTTCCATGGTAGACATAATTAATTGCTCACTCTTTCTGATTAAATAATCTTGAATGATATTGATACAGACGCTCCAGATCAAAAAGAATATGTCCCACTATATACACTCACAGATCAATCCATTTTTGGAATACAGTATTCCTTAGGGAGGTATAGAGACACACTTACAAAAGACAGAGCAGGAGGTAGAAAGGCTAAACTTGGTATAATATCTAGTCACCAGATCAGATGTGGGAGCAGTTGGGGAAGAGGTTGGTCAGGATGCATTGAAAGTGTGATAGCAGTTGGATGAACAAGGCACTGTTCAGTGAATGATACAACCATCTCTAGACAAGTAGTCATCACTAAGAATTCAAGAGAGGCACATTCCACTAGTACGTTAGCAGAGAATTTCTGTGGGAATTCCCTGAAAACCAGAAAGAAAGCCACTTAGTATCTACAAATTGTCTATGTGTGATGGGGCCCCAGGTCACCTAGCCAGAGTCTGGGGTAGGATTCTTTTTCCAAAAGAAAAAGAAAAGAAAATCCTTGTGGATATACATTTAAAACAAACAAACAAACAAAAACAGAATAGACAATAAAAGAGAACCATAGTCCTGGGAACCCAAGGAGCTTCAGGCACAGAATTTGTGTACAAGAGCAGAAGTAATTCAGAATTGTGCTACATCAAACAGAACATTTAAAACCCTATGGTTGGCACTAAGCCCTGGGATACCAGGGACAACGTGCAACAAGTGTGATGCAGGACCCAACCCAGAGACCCAGTGGTTACCTGTAGTACATTTTGCCCTAGATCAGCAAGCAGGGAAGATCAAGGATGCTTGGTCCCACCCAGTGGAGAAACTGAGTTGCCTAAATTCTTCCTGCTTTTAAACTTGGATTAATCTGGACTCTAAAGTGGGAATAATCCTGGAGGAGAGAGGATCAAGGAGTACAGCTCTGGGGGAGCTAGGAAAAACACAACACAGAGGAAGTTAAACAGAGACTAACTCATATCAGGTTTCAGCTCCTGGAAATGATGCTTTAAGCAGAATTTTTACAAGCTGGGGTCTATCCAAATAGGAACTGGGGAATGCTCTGGGAAAAAATGTCATCTGATAAATAGTTCAAGAAACAAGTTCAAAATCAAAGCTTTTAGAAGTCATACGAGAAGCCATTTTCAAAGAAAAAATTGCAATATGTAGAAGTAGATTTTTTTTTCCTCTGCAATTCCAGAAGGAAGAACTAAGACTAAATGATATAAATTCCAGGGAGGAAGATTTTGTTTCAAATTAAGAAAGAACACATTAATCATCAGACTTAGATGTAAAGGGAAGGGATGGAATGGGCAAACATGGGCAAACTTTCAGCTCTTCAATATTTAATTAGACGGTGTATGAACATAAACATAAAATACTTCAATTAATGAGAAGTCAGGTTAAATGTCCTGTAAAATCTAGCTCCCCTCTAAGATTAGGAGGATTTCTATGACATACGTGAAATAAATGCTACACGTGGTTAATATGATGGAAATTCTGAGTAAAGAAGGTGTGGTTGGGAGGAGTTTCACAGAGCAATACTTTAGTCAAACCTCAAAGCACATGTAGTATTTGTAAAGAAAGAACAGTAGTAAGTACATTCCAAGGATGAGGAATGATGCAGAGGCAGGAAGGCAGATTTGTTTAAGAGATCCTGAGAAGACAAACCTGGTTGGACTAGAGTGCTTTCTTCATGGAGTAGTATTTAGTAAAGTTAAAATATTAGGTAGGATCCAGATAGTAGAATACCTTCAATACCTGCCCAAACTTTGACTTTACCCTGAAGACAGTGAAGTGGCCAAAGTAAATACATACATACATATATACTGGAAGGGCTACTGTACTGCTTAAAAAGAATTAGTGAGTCAGACAGATCTGTATTCAAATTCCAACCCCATCACTTGTTAGCTGTCAGACCTCTCGAAGTCGTAATCCCCTCATCTGTCTAATGAAGATGAGGATAACGATATTATCCATCTCATAGAGTTGTTGTGAGAATTAAGTGAGCTACTGAATGTAAATCTGGTACATGCTAAGTAGCAATAAATGATAGCTATAATTAATTTTATGAGAGAAGGGTGGGCATGGAGGCAGAGAAGGAGAGAGAGAGAAACTCCAAGCATCCCAAACACACTATCCTTCTAAATGGTAAATATTAAAATCCTTATTGATCTGGCTCAATCGAGGCTCAATCTTTCATAAACAACTCTTCTTAATCTCTGTCCTATGCTGCCTCAGAACTTCGTAAGAAGGTGGGAAAAAAATTAGAAATATTCCTGGATTTTTCTTATGGCATAATGACAGAATAATCAGTCAAAATCTGCAGAAGGGAGAGACATGTTTCAATCTTTAAAGAATACACCTGTTAAAAATTAAGTAAACAGACAACTATGTCCAACTCTCCAGATAACCTACAAACTCTAATTACCTTTTCCTGAATTTCAGAAAAGGCTTTCTGGAATAGTTTTCCATTTGTTGCACTCAAAAGATGTACATTAGTCTGGAGAGTCTCTTTAAGAGCACGTTCAGTCTGAAAATTGAAAAGTATTGTTAAATTATTCATGCCAGAAGGTAGCATGTCAATTTTTCAGACTTTTCCAAGATTATTAAGTATCATACGTGTACACACCTTAGATTTGTTAGTAGCTCCTACGATACCTGCCACCACTTGCAGAAGTCGGATCAGAATCAATCCTATGAAAAACTGAAAGAAAAGAAAAGGAATATATACCACACCCAGTACATTCAGTAACATCTAGGGACATGTTGCCACCATGCTTCTTTCTGCAGTTGGGATCATATTACAGTTGGAGTATTAACCATGCTCTTCATTTACTCCATCCTTTGCCTCCTGAATCAAAATTGGGGTCATTACTACTCAGAAACATTTTCTCCAAAGACTGACTAAGGAAAATGGTTAAAACTAAAATCGATTGATAGGACTGTATGCATCGGTATGATGTTGAATGGAGGGAAGTTTGAAAACTTAGATGAAGTTATTTGAATATGATCTTTCTCGTCCTTCATCAAACACAAACTCAAACTTCAAGACAAACTTCAGAACTGAATACAAAACAACATCTCTACCACTATTAGAATCACCTGGGGTCTTGTTATAAATATAGAGTCCTGAAATCTGCCTCAGCTCTACTGAATCCTACTTGTGGAGGATCCCACAAATTAGTTTTTTTGTTAAAACAAGTTCCTCAAGTAATTAAATTCCCCAAATTGCAAATGAGGCCTTATTAATCAAAAAGCAACCACCAGGGATGCTATTAGAGTCCTATTAAAACTCTATCTTTACCTTCCCTCATAATCAACCATCAGTTAAAAATTATTTGTTCAGGGACTAACACAATACTACTTTTATCAGAGAAACAAGTTTAGATGAGCTCTGATAAACTCATGTCAGATTTCTATCTAGTAAATACTTGATGAATTTTTCTAATATTTTTTTCTATACCCATTTATGATTTTCTACTGTATATGTGTTAAAAGTGAATATCTGTGGGTTATCCCAACCCAATCTATCCTTGAAGCTTTCTAAGGGACAAATTTGATTATCCCACACCCTTACAATTTTCTTAGCATGGACTATGATTTGACTGTAGCCCACACCCAGACCCGTCTTCCATTATTTACTGAAAGTAGCCCTTGCACTCTCTAGCCATACCCAAGGCTTTGCAGTTCCCCAAACATGCTAGCATTGTACTGCCAGGTCCTCTCCCTGGAAAGCTCTTCACACACTCACCCATACAAACACCTTATTCACTTCTGCTTCTGGCTTGAAAGTTCCCTTCTCTATCCTTGCCCTTCTCTTCTTGGGCCACATTCACTGTTGCTAATTGTTTACTTGTCAGTCTTCCCTAATGGGTTCTAATTGTTTTCATATCTATGTATCTTTTAGCACAGTATCTGGCACATAGCAGGTACTTAGTAATTGAATGAATGACTGAATGAATAACTAAAATTTGTCTTCTCTCACAGTATCCTCTAATCTAAGATAAATATATTAGCTTCCACAACCAAACCCTCTAAACAAAAGTGAGAGAGTTTCATCAATCTTGGCAAGTCCTTTGGACGGACAATGGGGGTGGGAGATAATCCTTAAAGTCTGAAGGTTGGGTATTGGGATTTTTCGGGAAAACTCACCAAAACAAGCACAAACTGGTTTTCTTTCATGGCACCAAAGCATCCCAGGAAACCCAGAATCATGATGGTAACACCCACAACAATCAAGATATTCACAGCAATATAGGGGTTAATGGTAGCAGCCCCAGGACTGAGAATCTGAAAATGAAAAAGATCAATGACAGAAAATCCCTTTTCTTGATGTTTTTTATTCAACAAATATCCACTGGGTAACTACTGTTGTGCCAGGCCCTGTTCTAGGACCTTGAGATACCTCAAGGATGTAAACAAGCAAAAATTCCTGCCTTCAAGGCACTTACATTCTATTCTATCGAGGTATTACTTGTCCAGATAATGTTTCCAATTTTATATTTTTTGAAGATGATATATTGGACGTTGGACGGAAGAAATGAAATAGGCTTTTAAAACATCAATTATTCTAAAAAGCTTAGAAGGACCGGTAGTTGCACCCATGATGTGATCTTTGATTTGCATATTTTGTGTTTTATACCTGACAGTAGCATCATAAAGCGTGTTTTATGGCAGTTTATTTATGTAAATTATAAAGCCTAAGTTCCTCAAACAGATAGACTCAACAATATGAGTGAATCTCAAAAACATTTCATTGAGCTAAATAAACCATATTCAAAAGAGTGATTGCTGTATGATTCCATTCATATGGCATTCAAGAATAGGTAAATCTATGCAAAAATAAACACATTGGTCCTAATCAAACTTACAAGCTTTTGCATAACGAAGGAAACCATAAACAAAATGAAAAGACAACCTATGGAATGGAAGAAAACATTGCAGACAATGCGACTCACAAGGGATGAATTTCCAAAATATACAAACAGCTCATGCAACTCAACAACAAAAAAAACAAACAACCCAATCAAAAAATGGGCAGAAGAGCTAAATAGACATTTCTTCAAAGAAGACATACAGATGCCTAACAGGCACACGAAAGGATGTTCAACATTGTTAATTATTAGAGAAATGTGAATCAAAACTACAATGAGGTACCGTCTCACACAGGTCAGAATGGTCATCATGAGAAAGTTTACAAAAAAACAAATGCCGGAGAGGGTATGGAGAAAAGGGAACCCTTCTACACTGTTGCTGGGAATGTAAGTTGGTGCAGTTACTATGGTAAACAGTGTGGAGGTTCCTCAAAAAACTAAAAATAGAGTTGTCATATGATCCAGCAATCCCACTCCTGGGCATATATCCAGCCAAAACTACAATTCAAAAAGATATATGCACCCCTACGTTCATAACAGCACTATTTACAATAGCCAAAACATGGAAACAACCTAAATGTCCATAGACAGATGAATGGATAAAGATGATGTAGTGTGTGTGTGTGTGTGTGTGTGTGTATATATATATATAATGGAATATTACTCAGCCATCAAAAAGAATGAAATAATGCTATGTGCAGCAACATGCATGGACCTAGAGATTATCATATTAAGTGAAGTAAGTCAGAAAGAGAAAGACAAATACCATGTGACGTATCATATGTGGATTCTAAAATATGACACAAATGAACTTTTATGAAACAGAAACAGACTCATAGAGAACAGACTTGTGGTTGCCAAGGGGGAGGGGGGTGGAGAAGGGAAGGACTGGGAATGTGGTATCAGCAGATGTAAACTATTATCTATAGAATGGATAAACAACTAGGTCCTACTGTATAGCACAGGTAGCTACATTCAATATTCTGTGATAAACCAGAATGGAAAAGAATATGAAAAAGAATATATATGCATGACTGAGTCACTCTGCTGTACAGGAGAAATTAACACAACATTGTAAATCAACTATATTTCAATTTTAAAAAGTATCCATTTGGGCAATAAATAAAAAAGAATAGGTAAATCTAAGCTATGATGTTAGAAATCAGAGCAGTGTGGTCTTTGAGCAGAGTATAAAGGAAAGAAGGAACTGACTGCAACGGGATATGAAGGAACTTTTATGAGTTAATACAGATGCTTTGCTTTGCATTTTGATTGTAATAGTGATTACATAGGTCTATACATTTGCCAAAACAAAGAAAAATTTAAACTAAGAAAATAAAATAAGTCTAGTTTCTAATATTCCTTATCAAGTCTATCTCCTTGTTCCCAGGAAGTATAGTCTGTAGAGTCTTCCAGAGACTCTTTATTTTGACTGACTATATTTAGTAATGGGATATTAAGGAAAATATCCTAGGGCCCATTACGATGGGTTGGGCTACCCATTCTGCATAATTTGGTTCTTCTCTCCCCCACATGTATACTCTTCATCACTTTCATAACACCTAGCCTCAATCTATCTCTTGCTCTACAGGTATGTCCAGAAGTAAATCACAATTAAAAAGTGAAACCTTGTTCCTCTGTTATATTCGAGTGCTATGTGTAGCCCATCTACCTCTTATGATCTCTATCTACTGGGCTATTTCTAGGTAGAACACTAGGTCTTACACTAGCTCAGAGACTGCCTCTTGGAATCTGCTGCACAGCATGTAGACTAGCTCCTTTAACAAGAAATACCAAAATAAAAAACAAAACAAGCAAACAAACACATATTACTATTCATGATCTTTACATTTTTAAAGACTTTTAAAATCAACTCATAGCCTAGACAAAACCTTTATTTGATAATCAGGAGGAAGGAATATGCTAAAGTTGTAAGAGCACTAAAAACTAAAATCTATATTCCAGTCAGAGTCTTTATAAATAACTAAGTTTCTAACCATAGAACAGTCAACTAACCCTACTGGGCTCGTTTCTCACTTACAAAGGTATCAGCCTCTGTGATACCTAAGGCTTCCTTTGTCTCTAAGAGTCTATGCTTACAGATGATGTTTCGATTTACATATTTAGAAAGCTGGGTAAAGATTTTCTTTTTGTCTCTTTTTCAGGTTTTCTGGTTTTGTTTTTTTTTTGTTGTTGTTGTTGGTTTGCTTGTTAAGATTGGAGCTAAGAAATCAGTTTTGTTAATAAACAGGCATGGTAACTGAGTCAAAATGGGTAATGACAAAAAAAAAAAACCCCAAAAAAGCAGCATTAGAAACCCTGTTCTATCTACTCACCATCAAAGACTGCTTCACTAGCACATTGTGGCCAATGCAGGAAAACCCTAAGGTATCTAAGACAGTTTAAGCCTCAATGGCTGAGTTATGAAGACTTGGTTAGTCAGTCCACATATAGAAACAGTAGGTCAAACACCTACCAGTGAGACCTGGATAGTGCGGCCAGCACTTATTTGGCAGGTAATGAGGCACTCCTCTGAGACTGATCTGGGCAGAGTGACCCACTGCCAGAGTGGCCAGAAAGCCATGTGTTGGCTACCTGAGGATCACTGCTTCAAGTCCAGCCCAACAAGTGGCTATTCTTATTCAGAAAAGAAATAGAAATCTGAGTTCAGGTATTTGTTCCAGGGGAGAGACAGCAGAGTTTTAAAAGCTGTCTTGGACGAACACTGTCTGTGTGTGTCTTAGAACAAGGGGAGAATTTCTACAGGAAGGGACATGGCTGAACTTTGAAGAAGAGGGCTTAGGGTCTTCTTTGGATTATAAAGGATCTCCTGGGACAAGGATGGTTGTGCATACGTTTTGCCTCATGCAGGGCTGAGTTCATCCTGATGGAGAACAAGGCATCCCTAAGAGACACTTTAGCACCAAAAGCTTTGCTAAAAGATGTTCATAAAGACATCCTGACATCCTTGTTTTCTGTGTTTGCACTCAGGTTTCTCCTTCTAAAACTTCTTCCTCTGTTTTTCCACTAGTAAAATTCAGTTTTCTGCACAGTCTTGATTCTTTGTCACTGACTTTGAATAAAAATAAATCAAGCCAATTTCACGTAAGTCAAGCTGGTTAAAATCGTCCTGGAAGATACTGACTTTTGTTTAGGGTTAGAGGCTGACAGAGCACAAGAGTCAAAATGTAACTAAAGATGCTGCCTAGCTCTATTAAATCATTCTTATCCCCAGATTCATAGTAACACCCTCTCAAGGACAACAGTTCTTTAATACATTCAATGTGTGTGATTTCTTAGACTAAACACCAAGTTTGTTTACCAGAAGCACTGGGGGGAAATAAAATGTTCCCATATCAAACAGAAATAAAATAAAATTTAAAAATAAAATACAGGCTGCACACACATCTTAAAAAGGCCAAAGCACCCTCTAAATCAATAGCTTTTAATCTCTGTGCTTAATTATGAGTCCCAAAGTCAAACATCAGCTTCTAAATGACTCTAAGAATCTTCAAATACTCTTCTAGGACTCAAATCCCAGAGTCCAAGGGCATCAAGAAGTCACAGATATATTTATATCACTATAAAACAACAAATGAAATCCTGATGGACTAGAATGTTACCAACTATTGCCACACCTATCCCCCATTCAATTTCTTCACCATGGTGAGGCACAGAATGAAGAGGCAGCGAATTGCCACTGTGATTCTCTGGGTTCTCTAATGGTAGAAAGCAAATTTTAAGGAAAAAGAAAAGAAAAGGAAAGAGAGAAGAGAAAATAAAAGAAAGGGAAAGGGAAAAAGGAAAGGAAGGGAAAAGAAAGAAAGAGACGGAAGGAGAGAAGGAAGGGAAAAAAGGCAGGAAGGAAGGAAAGAAAGAAGGAAAAGAAGGAGAGAAACAGTGAGAGAGCAAGAAAAAAAAGTCCAAAAAAACCAATTCTTTTAAAAAGGGAATCAGAACAGATGTCAATTTGCTTTTGCTTTTAATATTTCTTTCAACTAGGCCATGCCCAATGGCATGTAACTGCACCGTGGTATAAGTTTTAATAGAAAATGCATTACCTTATTTCTGTTTTAATAATATCTTAATAATTATTAAATAGGAATCAACATTCCTCTTAGAGAGGGAAACTTTATTTAGGCAAATACTTCGAAAGGGCCCTAGGAGTACATGTGAGCCTGAATAGTGGCAAGAGCCCAGATAACAAAGAACAAGGTAACTGCCCTGTGTGAGATAAGAATCGTAACTTGCGGGGCGGAACACCCCTGGGAAGAAGCGAGCTGGGAGAATGGAAGCCGGGGAGCCAGGAAATGGTGCCAGGCACTGTGTTAAGTGAAACTGACAGACCAACCCTCCCACATGCTCACCCTGCTCCCACCCACCACACACACAATCTTTCCACACCTGTGACACTGTGGTACAGAACAGAGACAGTGTGCGTGGAATCCAAAGACCAGAGCTAGAATTAATTGTAGGAACTAAACTTCCTCCAGATCCACAGAAATCTTGGTAAGACCTTTGCCACCCATGGAACGGTGTGTGGTGGGGCACAGGGGATCATGCTAATCTTATCTTGATGTCAGGAGGCTGGACACTGCCGGTCAACTCCTGAGTTACACCGGTGACCAGCCTCTTGCTGTTACAAGGGGTTACCCTCAATACCAAGAGCCCCAAGTAATTACCAACTATCTTTGTACTTTGCTGCCTTTAAAACACAGATTCAAATTCTTCTTCTCCAAGAGAACCTCTCACCTTCTTTTCTTTTGGATCACTACCCCACCTTGGGAATCAGCCAAATTATTGTCAATACCTTGTACAAAAATTGCTCTTGGTGGGGAGGCAAGGTGGTCTATATCCTCTAGATAACTTCAGGCTGCACTTCAGCAAATAACGAAGGAGGCTAATTTCTGCTTTGGTCCCTTCCCGCCTCCTCTTTCATTCCCATCTTCCTATTAGGGGAATAACATCTTCTCCATTCTCTAGAAGGATTGATCAATGCCTAGCACAGTGCCAGGCACATAGTGGGTAATTTTGATTAATTAAATTTAATTAAATTATAAAATCACAGATCAGCACAAATGATTACATGAGGCAGTTAAGGAAATGCTATAGAAATATTTTATTATTATTATTACTGTCATTACTTTCATCATTATAAGAGAAATAAACTACTTTGGCAGCGGAGAAACTTGTATTTATTTACCTCTGGACCATCTTTGCCTGCTCGTAGCCAAACTGCTACTGCCAGGATTGAGGCACCACATAGCTGCAGAAAAAAGAAAAAAATGTTAAGAGTACGCCCAAGATAAACTACACCTCTAATTCCACACACCTCTAGCCATCTGGTAACAATGGTTTATCATTAATTCTACCATTACAACCTAAAAGACATAAATGAGGCATATTTATGTGTAGATAATTGCTAAGATGTTCTGTTGTAATTGGAAAGTTTGATAAGAATAATCTGTTTTCCATCCACTACAGGGGAGGGGAAAAATGGTTTTCCATGTTTCAACTCTTAACTGCGTTTCTGCTAGATTTTAACATATAAAAGATAAGTAATAACAGTTTAAAGACAAAATATCCTTATTGGGCCTCTGGGCTTGTCTTTGAGAAGCTGTCTTAGACCATAAAGGAAGGGAATAACTGATCAATCACCAAACGTTCCTTCAAGATTCAAGAAGTCAGGATGTGGAGGCAACAGCAGAACATTTGACAACATTTGCAGTTAAGCAACAAGGGTTTACGACACTTTTTGTACCCAAATAAGCTCTTTTAAAAATAAGCTCTTTTAGGTAGTAAAGCTTACCTAGAGAAGAGGAACAATGAGGAACAGTATTTAAAGTCTTAAATTCCTTTAATGACTTTACCAGATTATTTAATTTGGACCAAGACCAACACATAAAATGTGAAGCACATTTTACTTTAATGTAAGAAAAAAACCTTGTCTTTCAGCTTTGTTTTTGTTTTGTTTTGTTTTTTAAGGTATAGATGTTGTGGCCTCAAAAAAAAAAAATCAAAGATCTATTATTAGATAGAGATGTTGAGAACAAGCTTGGTAACATACCAGACACAGCAGTAGACTTTGGAGGAGTTTCTAGACTATTCTGGCCTTAGGGTTCTCTGACAGAGAAATGCCTGAGTCCTCCAAACCCCATGACTTTGTAGTATCACTGCTTTCATGTATGGTTCGGCCATATGCCCAAAACCCCCAAACAGCAGTTTCACTTAACGGCTTCTCATTACGTTTGCTTTGGGAGTAGAGTCGGGGCTTTTGTGAAAGGAATAGGGAGTGCAAACAGCAGCTGAACCTATGCTCCCTAAAAGATCTCAAAATTCATCTAGGTTCAAGCCCTTTATTTCAGATTAAAGAAACTGGAATCCCAAATGATAACAACGGTCACATGGTGAAAATCCAGCAGCACTCCTAATCTAGCCCCACCCTTACTACATGCTTCAACTCCTGCAAAACAACAAATGCAATGGAAAACCAAAGCTTTTTACCAAAGAGTTCTTTGCCAAATCACCAAATCACCTATACAACTTAATTATCTTATAGGTGTGCACACGCATACAATATAAACTGCAAATCTTTGAATAAACAACTTTAGAGCCTGAAAACTCTCCTTATTTCTTTTCCTCTTTTCCACTAAATCCTAATTTCATTTGCAGATGGAGATAAATGCTCATTTTAGTGGTTCTTTGTTAATAAATAAACCTGCAAGAATTTATATCAAATAATAACGAGACCCTCTGTGATTTTCAGTAATTTTATAACAGTTGGATTTTTTGTTTTTCCTTGTTCACTGGTATTTTTCTCCTTTCACAGGTAGATTTACATTGTTTGTCTTAATAGTCACTCTGGCTTTCAGCTTTAAATGAAAATAACATTATCTGAATAGCTATTATGATTATCATCTTAATCTGATGTTTTTATAAAACTATCGATGAGAATATTTTAAGAAATGTATCATAATTTTCTAATTAAATTAATTAAAAGTAATTGGTTTTCTATCAAGAACAGTCTAGAGCCATGATTGATACTAACCTGTTTTATCCCAATTGTTATAAGATTGATCATCATAATTGTTCTTTGAGTCCTTTCTCCAGTTTGGCTTTAAGGGTTTGCCCCTGATTTTTTTATAACGTTTTAAATAATTTGGAGTATGAATTAAGAAATAAGCATCTAGGTATGTCCTTCTTTCTGTTGATAAGGTTGTAAAAGGAAATTAGCTGATAAGTTAGGCCCCCAGGTTAGCCATCAGTGGACACTGCAGAACTTACTAGGCCTACTCCCCACTAGCCCTTTCTGGTTTCTCTTTGAAGAAAGTCACTGTTGTTGCCACTCAGCTCTCATGGGACATCCTTCTTTTTATGAAATTAGGATGCAGTTGGTCTGAGCCAGCATTCTAAGAAATTACGTAATTGATGTTTGCTTATGAATATACTATGGACTGAATTATGTGCCCCTAAATTCATATGATGAAACCCTAATCCCCAATGTGGCTGTATTTTGAGATAAGTACCCAAAGTGGAGGCCAGACTCAGGGTGAGCATCTCCCTCCAGCCCCACAGATTCCTTGCCCCACGAGGCCAGAGGAAGATAAGAGTAGGACTAAAATACTATCACACCAGATTCCAATATTTTTAAATTAAAAATCAATATGATTGTTGGAATTGGGAAAACAGCATTAATTGAACTATTATTGTGTGTCAGTCCTTGGTCACAGGCTTTCATAAAGTATCTTAGTTAATCTTCACCATTGACCCTGCTGCGTAAAATTACCATCCTCGTTTAACAAGTGCAGAGACTGAGGCAAAGAAAAATCAAGGAACATGTTCCAGGCCACAAAGAAATGTAGATTCAGGATTTGAATCTCAGTCTGCCTGTTTCTTCAAAATCAACTTTCCATTCTTCTAATTTATGACAGAAGAATTTCTGTCTTATCATAATTCTTGCCATTTTATTTCTTCCTCTGTTTCAAAATCCAAATTGGAATTTATTCATCACTGCAGAGTGGTTTCATACTCCTGACTCATAAAAAAGCCTGTACAATGATGGCTGAAATGTCTGTTTCTTAAACATTTATTTAGCATTATTCTGAGTTCTTTATATGTATTAAACCATCTGAACTTCACAACAACCCATGAAGTAGATATTACTACTATCCCAATTTTACAGATAAGGAACTATAAAGCACAGAGAGGTTAACCAATTTCCCCAGGGCCACACAGCTGGTGGTGAAGGAGCTGAGGTTCAGCTCTTAGCCTCTGGGCTCCAGTGTCTTTGTCACTGTTTAAGTTCCAAGCTGACTGCATAGTGGCAGGCAACCATTGTATTTACAAAATTCACACATTTCATCCATAGTCAAGTCTATCTTGGGGGATTTCATCAATCAGAATGAAATATAACTGCACCTTATTTTTCAGTTATCCCGTCTCATAGTTATGTCTGCTCTGCTTCAACTCTCTTCATTGCGCTCGGCACAGCCAATCTAGCGTCCCAGGTACCATATAAAATACAACGATGACATTGAAATGCTGGTTCTTGAACTCTCTCAATGCCTGACTTCCTTCTGCTCTCTTCAAAACTCTTCATGGTTGGCTTCCTTCAGTTGCTAACACCTTTGGCTTTACAGCTTGTCTCCTTCTCACCTTCCCCCATTTGGGTTTGGTAATGTTACATCACTCTGCTTTCCTTCATAAAGAGCCAGCCTTTCCACAGCTCTCTGCCTCTGGCAATGGTTCCACTGAATCTGTGGGCTAAAGGCCCTGTGTTCCATGCTTACCCAGACCCCTAAGATGCTCCAAGCACCCACAACACTCCCATGCCTGACTTATCTAAGAGGAGCATAAGAAAATGTGGACAGTTTATCTGTTTTGACACAAGACTCAGAGAAATAGGTTTTGCACCTATGATTTACCTAATTCACTCTATTTGCACCTCTAATTCACTCTAATTTGCATCAAACTCTAGCATGAGTGATTAGGAATGATTTTTGCTTTCTCACGTTTTTCTTCAATTACTAATTCTAACAAATAGAAATCACTGTGTATTTATGTGGCATATCTCAAGTTCTCTCACAAAAGAAACTGGTATGTTTAGCTTAAATAACCGTATGCATACTTTAGAGATATTCCAACATCTGGCCCTACTTTACAAAGGCTTAGTTTCTCTAAAGTTACACCAGAAAGAATTCATTTGAAAACATAAGGCCATGGATGTCTACAAGAAAACCACATCAGTGGGACCGTAAAATATTTGCTTAAGTAAACATTAGAAATGTGACAAATTGCTAATTTCCTATGAAGGATTATAAAATTCCAGCTGAGAACTCTGGACTGGGAGCAGAGGGGAGAGTAGAAATAGGAATGGTTCCCTGACCTCACAGACTCCTGCTCTAACTTTTGAATGAAAATATGGATGTCACCTGTTGGCTGAGAAGTTATCATTGGTCTTTACAACTGTTGTTCTTACTCAAGATGTCTCATATAAAGATTATAGGTCCCTTCCCATCACTATGCTGATGGGAAGAACAAGGCCTTTTAAGGGAAGTCGGAAATATCTAACTGAAATCCGTAGCATCAGAAAGACTTCATTATCAGAAAAACAGAGATAATGGTAACCGTAAAATAATCAGAGCTCTCCAGGAAAGCAGTAACAATGACTGGGTACAGTATTGTACAGATGTCTACAACTCACCTTGTACTCTTATATCAAATCTATAATCCTGAACCTATAACATACCCCTTTCCTAGACTGTCTTTTTCATTTCAGTTTAAAATTCAGATCTGTTTCAAATTCCTATTAGCTACTGAATAGCTATTCATTAGCTTTTAATGAAATACTGACCTCTGATGTATTTAAAACAGCCATCAACACTTTGTATGCTGTTTTTATACAACATGGATATATTTTGACTATTTCATAATTTGAGGATTGCTACTAGTTTGAAGACTTTGAGACGTTATTAAAGTAGAAGCCATGCATTTATTAGCATATTTATATTTCAGTTTGTTTAAATGGCCCATATATATTCTGCATCGTAAAGAGACAATGGCTGCAGCTTTTTAGAAACAGATATCAAGACTTCTTGGAGAAATGCTGATTCCAGGTCTGGGGCAGGAAATAGGGAAGTGAGCCTGGAACATCTTATCATCCCAAATAGTGAAGAAGTTATCAAAGTTATTAGGGTCATGTCAAAAGGACTCAGGAGCCAACTTGAAGACTCTCCCACTGGCCAAAAATGGAATAAATTGCACATC